CCAACAATTTCCAGCAACCCAATAATTTCCAGCAACCCAACAACTTTCAGCAACCCAACAATTTCCAGCAACCCAACACTTTCCAGCAACCCAACACTTTCCAACCAGCTAACAATTTCCAAACCGTGACTCCCACTACGCAAAAATACAACTCATATCAGCCTTCGTCACCGATCGCATACCAACAGTCCACAAATGTGTTCCAGTCGTCGACACCAAACAACGCGGGCAACTCGTTCCAACAGTCGTCCCAGCAACCACTGTTCCAGTCCACCACCGAGCACTTTTCTAAAGACTTCAAAGCCAAGTTTGACCCATACAACAGCTACCACCAGAGCACAAATGAGGAAGCTGGTGAGACACTGAAGACGGCGCATAGTACGAACCTGAGGCCGAGCGAACTTAATGCACTCATCCAACCAAGGCCCAAGTCGATAAACGCCACGCTGTCCGTCGGGTTTAGTTTCAACAAGGTGGACGGGGGAGTGGCCAAGTCCACCGTCGTTGTACCTGCACCGACCACGCAAAAGCCAAGGCCTTTCACCACGCAACAGCCTCCTTCGACGACGCAATTTGTCACCGCCAGCTCAACCACGGCTTTCGTGAGCGCTGGGCCGAGCGGTAGTGCCAAAAAGGCCGTCACCAAAGACAAGGACTCGTCATATGATTATGCGTACTACGACGACAGCAACCATAACGATTACACCGACGTGGTGCACGAAGAATTTTCTAGAATTCGCAACTAGAAAATGTTTAAGTAAATACTTAAATACCCCTCCCCCCCACAAACTTTCAAAAGCCTTTAAATTGTAAGTTTTTGTAAATAAATCGTAGGTTTACGTCTAAAATATATAATATTATAAAATTTAATAAAAAATACGTTATAATGGTATATTATATTCTTTGGCCACGTGAAGCAAATTCTTCAGTGCCAATCAGTTCGACAACGATATGTTGGTCAAACGTAGGTTTGAACAGACTTGAGGTTCGCCCAAACACCTTCTATATGAACCCGAGTAAGCGCTTCCAAAATATTCGTCCCCCTCTTCCCACAAGAACTCATTAAGCTCTTGGTTATCATTCAGGTGAAAATTCTAATACACGCTTAGCAGAATCCGGCTGGTATGATTGTATAACCAGATGGTTCACCGAGTTTAGTTATTCGTGAACAATCGAAATATATACAAAACTGGCGGTAMAATTTGCAGTGTGCAAAAAACGTTAATTTTTTTTAAATGACTGTTAATTTATATTATTGAATTATCGATGCAATATTATTTTTATTGTATTTCTCTTAGCCACAAGTGAACAAAAAATAAATCTAACTTTAAATTGGCGTCCAAAAAAATGGATAAAACAATACTTAAATAAATATTTTATACTTTAAATATCATCTATAATACATCATTCGTGTATAATGTATTTGTAAAGATTAGCTTTATCACCTATTGTTAATTAATATTTAAAATAATAAATACATTTGATTTTTGTATGAATGTTTTRTAATTTAGTAATAAAATTATTCTTTCTTGTATTATAATTATTTTTTTCCTAACCAATTCCTTGGATTTTAGTTAAAATATCTTTTAGATTTTGAGCATAAGTTTCTCTAGCATAAACTGCAAGTTAGTGTTATTTACTCAAACATATTTCTGCATTTSCTTTTCAAACAAACCACTGAAATATGATCCAGTACTAGTTGGTACTTTTAAAAGACAAAATATTTGAAAATCCCGAATACTTTAGAAAGTAACCAGAAAAAAAATAGATAAGGAAAAATGGTAATTTAGTCATTTATAACAGTTAAAAATTTTAAGCATCCAAATTTTTAATAGTTTTGCTTGAGTCATCAACATCATTCCATCTTATTTTTCTAACTTTTCAAGACTAATAGTGAAACATGTATTATTTATCATATTTAATCATAGTCCTGTATCACCTTAGTCTATAATTGATTAGGTACCTAAATATTAATAGTGTACATGGATTTCAATTTATTTTATGAATTTGGAATTTTCAAAGAAAAATCCACATTAAAAATATTGGTTCRCCGCARATATATTTTTATATAATATTAAAAATGATTGGAACTATAAAACATGCTGTATAATAAATTATACGAAACAGATCAAAGGATTTGGAAATGATACGAAGTTTATCAGAAAAGCATAAAAATCAAACAAAAATGACTGAATAAATATAAATATAATAATGAATGTTGCTAACCAGTTATTGAGTTTGTTTGTATTATTGTTCAATGCTTCAAATTTATCATTTATATAATATTTTTAAATTCCGGAAACCAAGTCTTTTCACGAAAATTGTGTTTCGATTACGATTTWAACGTTTCTATTTAAAATAAGTTAAGATGTTGATGAAGTTGTTATTGGAGATTTTAACACTGGTGTTTCTATTTAACTATTGATGGCTTTTGGTTATTTATTTAACAAATCTACAAATGTAAATGGAAAAAAATGTACTAAAATGAAATACCAGGATGTATACATAAAAATTTAARTGTATATAGGTTCTTCTATTTCTATACTTTTCTACTGTTTATAATAATCATTATAAAATATTATGAATATTTAAATTATAAAACTGGAAATAGAGGCATAGTATGTATCAATTGTAATATTATACYCATAACTCATATGGTATGGTTATGTTAGCCTAACTCGTTTAAACTGTCGCCAGCTTAAACGTTTTCAAAAAWTTTTCTAAATTTTGCCAAATAAAAATTAAATTAATTAACTGAATTCTCTTAAATCTTGGCTATATACTAGTTTTATAGTGCAATAAGCTTAACCTATTATATCAACATAGTTATTTGAATTAAAGCTGCTATGGACAGAGTTACTACTGTCACATACATATTATTTTAAAGTTTTGTTTTGGTTGAATAACACGATTATTGAAATACCAGAACGATGTATAAACACATTGACAACACATAATGTACTCGTATATAATATAATTATTCCCGTGATCACATTTTATCCTCTCTCAGAATTACTGTTTTTCGATAAAACCAATTAATAATGTTCTGATGAGCATCTCTACTCGCCTGCTGAACGACGACGAATATCAAATTAACTACGAATCCTCGCGTCAGCGGGAAATTTGCGAATGGCGCCAATAACTCGTATTGCTACAACATTAGACAGCACTCRCCGTCGCCGAATATACATACGAAAATAATATTATTATCGATTAATAATTATTATCACTCGTATAAAACCAAAGGGACCATTGTCATTTCCATCAGTGCAGCATCGTCCGAAATCGTTGAAAGGGTTCGAAGAAAAAGACGTTTCGACTGCCGTGTAAAAGTGAGTACCTATTGAAATAACTGCAACTTGCAAGACGTGCATTGACCCACCAGAGAGACATTCCCGCAGTGATATCGGTCATAATAATAATAAAGGTTATTATATAAGACATTAAACTTGTTTCACAGGAAAATTTCAATCCGAAAAAACTATTAACAGGCGATGATGAACACTCCGTCCACCAAGAAATTAGCCATGATGGCCACCGCGTTTGTATTGATCGCTGCGATCGTCAGTTACGTATCGGCCGACATGTCGGACGTTGGATTGTGCATCAGGAACTGCGCTCAGTGCAAGAAGATGTTGGGCGCGTACTTCGAGGGTTCGCTGTGCGCAGACGCGTGTGTCAAATTCAAGGGCAAGATGATACCGGACTGCGAGAACATCGAATCCGTGGCACCGTTCCTCAACAAACTCGAGTGATCCGCATCTCGTAAAAATCTGTCACCACCGGTTATATTTATTATTATGCTTAGAAAAAAAAAATGATTATATAGTATACACGTCACATACAGCCATCATATACTTACTGAATTGTTATTAGTATCAACATATAGTGTTAATAAAACATTATATTATAGTTTAATGATTTTATATGTAACTATACTCACTCAGTTAGATGAGTAAAAACATTATTCATAATACATGCGATTGTACGGTATATTGTACGGTATATTGTAATCAAATACGACAGTTATTAATATAATAAACCAAAATTACCATTACGATTATTGTTGTCATCCTTCAAAAAAAAATGTGTAATGATTTATTTTAAGATTTAAGATTTAAAACTATTAAGTAATAATGAAGAAATATGTTAAAACACAATGATTAATCTTTTAACATAGAATAGGTTTTGGTGTACTTGAATAATAGAACAAAACTAAATTATCTAAAGTAAAATGTTTACAATTTTTTATTTTAGTGTGGGGTTGGACAAGATTCAACTTTACTTTTTAAGCCATAATTTTKTTGAAGGAAAGGTACCAAAAGGTATAAAAAATACCTATTGAATTATGTGAAATAAAAAAAAAAACAAACAATACTAAGACCCAATATAAAGTTAATATAGAAAATGATTATTATATTTTTGATTATACATAATATAATATAATCATATAGTTGTAAAATGTTTAATATTTTTATAGCTTATATTATGTTATTTCAAAAACCGTTATAAAAATACTGATAAAAATTAAGGTGAATAATTTCATTAAGTATACAAAATATACATATACTCAATGATAATATAAATAAAAAAATATTATTCTTTTTTTATTCTACTCTTCACACTAACATAGTCCCGGCGTATTGTATATGCAAAATAAGTAACTACAATGAATATTGACCATATTATTATTATGTTATGTTATCTATCCCTAACTGTTACATATAAATATTATATTATATGTTACATGAACTATGAACACTCAATGTTGGACTGTAAAAATGTAAAAGGCTACAAGCCTAAGCCTATGAAAACTATTTGAATGTACGGAAATGTACAGAATTTACGGAAAATCATCT